AAGCTCCTCGGGGCCCGTATGCAATCACACAGAGCAGCACTGTCGGTGGGAGACCCCTCAGGGGTCCAGCACTAATCGCATTATTGCTTCTGCAGAGCCACTGCATTACAAGTGCGGCTGGATGAGGGATGTGCTTGCACTTGGTTTTGGTCATATTTACAGTGGTTTTCATTTAACACCTGCCATGAAATTAATGTGTTCTAAATGTACAGAATACTAAATAGTTTGGTGGTTTTAATGCAAATTGGAAATAGAAATTATTTAAATGTTAGTATTGACATAATGCAGATATTTTATAATACATATACACTATTTATCAAAACAATAAAATAATGTTTTATTTATTTATGTATTTATTTGTGTGGGGGGGGGGGGGGGGATTTATGTTTACTCAAACTTCACTATTCTGACCAGTGACTCACCCAGTCTTCTGCTTTCCGCTGATACACACACACACATACACACACACACACACACACACACATACCAAAACAGTCTCTGTGCCGTTCTGTGCACGTGAGGAGGTGTTCTTGAGGAAAAAAAAGGTCAAAAGGGTTTAGAAGGAATCTCAGTCTGGTCTTTGTCTGCTAGATGGGGGAAGTCTTTAGCTCATGATTTCTGTCATGGATTTGCATGTGATGGTCATGCTGTGCGTCTCTTTGACCATCAATCGTGGTTACTTGCCCCAAATTTGACAATCTCCTTCCGTAATGGTGGTAATGTTGAAGTAATTTGTCCGTGGTTTATTCCTTACCTTTAGCTTTGTTATGTCTGCCGACTGTGTTCTGAAAATTGTGTTAATTTCTGAATATTATCATGAAGAACAAAATGTGTAGTAATCATTCACTTTTGTTGATCACAGAGCTTATTTTCTGCAATAATCCAAAGCTAATGGAAAAGATTGGGTTTTTGTTGAAGGAACCAGCATGATGCAAACAGACTGGCCCACAAAGATACATCATCACTGTAGTGCTCTCTTCCAAAGAAAGACTTTACAGAAGTGTAAGCCTCAAGAGGAATAACAGTCAATTTTATAATGGTTACTTTTATGAAGTGAGATATTGATCAGATATACGGCTGACAAACACAAACTAACGACACGGCTTGTGTGTCCAGTTAAAATAAGATCGCAAGACCCTGTCTGCATTCTTTTAGATTCAGCTGTTTTAGAAATCATTTTAATGCAGTTAACATTTTAATGCTGCATTAATTGTTCAAACTACTCACTCCACTGTTATTTTAGTATGACGGGGATACTATTATAGATTGTATTAGTTTTGTTTTTTTTATTTTACTTTTTCATTAGAATTTTTAAAGCTTAAGTAATTTTATAGTTTTGTGATTTGTATTCCTTTATTATTATTATTATTATTATCATTATCATTATTATATACTTTAAGCTTTTGTGATTGATTATTGATTGGTTGAGGTTTTTTTTTTTTTGTCTATACAGTTTTTATTCTTTTTTTATTTCAGTTTTAGCTTAATTATAGTTTAGCACTGCACATCAAATTGGAGAAATAAGAAATGTTGCCTTGGCAACTAGCTCAAATAAAATGTTATAGTTTTAGTTAAATGTAATAATCCTGAGTCACACACACACACACACACACACACAAGCAAATAGGTAAATAAGTGAAACACACAAATCTTTCTGAATATCAATGAAATCACACCAGTTTATTATACTGTATATACTTGTATCAACTGTATATGTATCAACTTCATCAACAACTGCTAGTTCATTGCACTTTTTCTGTAAGGAAATGTAGAGTAAAAGCAGGAATAGTCTGAAAGCACAACACACTCGCTGCAATGCAGCCGTTTGTACACACCCGTAAATAACTATCATTCAGTCTTTAGCTAACGTTCTGCTACTTGCGCTGACACTGATCCGATCCGATAAACACGGGACCTGGCTCACTAACACGCCTCGCACATGATTCTGAAACTTCCTTCCCAGAAAGGTGTAAAGCACAGGGTTAATGCAGAAATACAAGCGTGCAATATTACTAGTGACGTACTGTGCGTACAGAAGGCTGCTATTACACTGTGTCGGATCCTGATTCTCATTGATCATCATGATGATGTTATACGGGCTCCAGAATGCGAAAAACATCAGGACGATGACGAAAATGAGCCACACGGTGCGATGTTTGCCTACCATCCGCGTGGCCAGGACGGTCAGTGTTATCCTGAAGTAGCAGTAGACGAATGCAGTCAACGGGAGAATAAAAAACAACACAAACTGCTTATAGAGACTGAAGACTCTCCACTGAGCATCGCTGGAGTCTTCGCACACCAGTCCTTCCATCGGATACTCTTCAACGGTGAAATGGATGAAGGGTTGGAGGCTGGCGAGGACGCTAATGATCCAGACGACTGCAGACAGCACGACAGCGTAGCAGCTTCTGCGTCGTTTGTTGGCGACAACGCAATGCACCACGGCCAGATAGCGGTCGAACGTCATGAGGGTGAGGAAGAGGATGGAGCTGTAGAAGCCCAGATAGTCTGCGCCGGTCACCAGCTTACACAGAGCTTCTCCGAAGATCCACTGGTCCGAATGATGAACGGCTTGAAACGGGAGCGTGAGGGTGAAGATGAGGTTGGAGGCCACCAGGTTCATGAGGAATATATTTGTGACCGTGTTGAGCTTTTCGAACTTGTAGAGGACGAGCAGAACCACTCCATTGCCCAGTACGCTGGCGATGAAGATGACGTAGTAGAAGGGTGGAAGAAAATGTTGGCAGAAGTTGTTGATGGCGATGGTGTTGCACTGAACGGTTCTGCTGGTCATCAGCGAATAGTCTTCATAAACGTCTGGTGTTGTGTTGGGCATTTCCATCTTGGTGGCTACCAACAACCTGCGGGGTTGAGCGAGTTTATTAGAATTAAAAGCTGGATAAATGTGACCACGGTACACTACACTTTATTTAGTCCACTTTAGACATTCTACTAACTATGAGTAACTTTGCAACTAATTCTCATTAATTTGCAACTAAATGTCTACTAACTCTCTTAGAGTGGACAGTAAGGTTAGGTTTAGGGTTAATAAAATAAGTTGAGATATACTTGCAAAGTTTCTCATAGTCAGTATGCTGTAGACCCATCAAAATAAAGTGTTAGAAGATATTAAGCAGACAGTTTACTAATACTCCAATGACTGCTAGTTGGCATGTAGATGCATGTTACTGTTAATGTCTAAAGTGGACGATCAAAATAAAGTGTTACCATAGACAACAATACATTGTATGGGTCAAAATTATCTATTTTTCTTTCATGCCAAAAATCATGAGGATATTAAGTAAAGATCATGTTCCATGAAGATATTTTGAAAATGTCCTACCGTAAATATATCAAAACTTAATTATTGATTAGTAATATGCATTGCTAAGAACTTAATTTAAACAACTTTAAAGATGATTTTCTCAATATTTTGATTTTTTTGCTCCCTCAGATTCCAGATTTTCAGATATTGTCCTATCCTAACAAACCATACTTCAATGGAAAGCTTATTTATTCAGCCGTCATATGATGTATACATCTCAATATCAAAGCAAATTGACCCTTATGACTGGTTTTGTGGTCCAGGGTCACAAATGATTAGAAGTCAGTAGAGATCTGTAGACTTACCGCAAAGCACTGTTCACAGCTCGTCTGGCCGGTTCATTAATAGAAACTACAGTCTTGTAAGATGGAGCAGCAGCAGAGGATGTGTGTCAGTGTACAGCTGCAAAAATCTGAATCATATCTTGAAACTACTTCCTCTTTATGTGACTTCAGAATTTTCTCAAGACTCGACGTGCGTTTCAAGTCTAGACAACATACACGATCGCTGTCCTGAAACCACAGACCAACCACAAAGTGTTCATTACCTTTTATTTCAACAGTCATTCTTAGCAAAATTTCCCAGAGATTTGTAAAAAATAAAAAATAAAAATAACCGTTATATGAAACTAAATGAAAATACAGTGAGTGAATAAAACAACAGATTAGAATTGAATGCTAGAGTAAAGGATTATAGAAGAAAAATGTGATATCAGTTTATTCAAGATTTCATTGGAAGAAAATATAACAAGCATTTTGTATGGATTCACAAAAACAATATTTAAAATAATTACATCTTTCAGATGTTTACCTCGTACCTTATACAGCTTAAATAATTCGCCAAGAGAGAAGAATAAAATCCATTATGAGTTCATGAACACACATAAAATGTAATAGTTTTTATTATAATGGTTTGTGTTCCTTTTATTTAATGGTTTTATGTTTAATGAGGTTAGTGTGAATTTACCTTCCCTTCAGGCAGTGCAAAAAAATAAAAAGTACATAAATACGTAAATAATGCAAAAACAATTGCTATTTATTAAATCAACCTAGCCAGCAATTTAAAGCACAGTTAGTAATTCAATTAAATATGAAAATATGATGGCTGTTGTGTCTTAGAAAGCTGTCCAATCCACGATTCTCAGCCAAGTACTGGGGAAATCAGAACTAAAGTCATCTGTGTGCCAAAAACAAACAGAAACATTAAGCTTTTCCCTTTCATGTCTGTCCCTGAAGTAATAAAGCCATTTATTCTTAATCTTCATTAGTACCAAACCACATACAAACTAATGCTTATATTATTGCATCTCATATCATGCAGCAAAAGTTCCTTGTTTGACAGCAAAATAGTTCATTAATAATTAATATTCATAAGTAATGGTGATAAATATTAATGTTTATGACACATTAACATCTATCCACATTAATAGGCTTGTAGTCTTATTTAGCAAATGGCCTAATGCATGCACCCTTGCATTGATGGTGTTACGCACCAACTCTTCGTGCATCGGGAGCCAGGTTTCACATCGTTCATCTATAGGCCCCTGATGTTTCATTGCACCATAGCAATGCACAGACAACGTCCAAAGCCATGTGAGTAAATTCCTCTGGATTTGCTGCAGCGCTTCTGGCAGTCCGAGAGCTGAGCCCATGTGTTCGCTCAAACGCGTGTGTTAGAAACCGGGCCCTTTGCTGTAGCGCTCATCCCTGAGGTCATAGGATTGGTAGCAGATGGACATGTCGCACACGCCAGCCGGCCCTGGAGGACCTTGCTTCCCCGGGATGCCCGGAGCCCCGGATTTACCCGGGATTCCCGGAGGACCCGGAATACCAATGCCATCACTGCCGCGAGGACCCTGGATCCCTGTTGGTGTTGAGGAAACACACAATCTGACAGTTACACAAGATTCCTCCCCAATCGCTGCGTATATGTTTGTGCCATAGGCATTTACATCTGTCAAACCACAGATCAGACATTACATTAACCCTTACAATGCATTCAAAATCTGTATTCTATTTTCTCATTTGAAGTCTGTTTGGGCCAGAAGAATCATTATTTTATAATTTAAAAAAAAACAGTTATAATGTAATATTTAAGTATTTAATTTCTGTTCTGATATCGTAACTTCTTAATAATGAGTGAATGTGGGGGAGGGAAAAATCAGTTTTGAATGTTATGTTATTACTTCATTTATTTTATTTTATTTTTAAAAAAAAAGAGAAATTATTTAGAAATTTCAAATTACATATGACCCAAAAAAAAAAAAAAAAAAAAAAAAA